TTTGAGCGTCTCTCTTGCCCTTGTTAGACCTGCGGGGGCAGAGGTGGGGCAGGGAGATGGGTAGGGAGGGGCAGGGAGATGGGTAGGGAGGGGCAGGGAGATGGGTAGGGATGGTCAGGGAGATGGGTAAGGAGGGGCAGGGAGATGGGTAGGGATGGTCAGGGAGATGGGTAGGGAGGGGCAGGGAGATGGGTAGGGAGGGGCAGGGAGATGGGTAGGGAGAGGCAGGGAGATGGGTAGGGAGGGGCAGGGAGATGGGTAGGGAGAGGCAGGGAGATGAGTAGGGAGAGGCAGGGAGGAAGCAGCAGCGAAGTTTACAAACGTAACTCGGCCCGTTGGGACGAAGAGACGTGTGAGGGAGTCTTAAAGATTCTGTTTGTATGAAAAGACTTGCCAAAGTGTGTGTGTGTGTGTGTGTGTATGTGTGTGTGTGTGTGTGTGTGTGTGTGTGTGTGTGTGTGTGTGTGTGGCGGGTCTATAAGGAGCAACATTTAGACCAGGGTCGCTGGTGTGATGGGCGAACGTCAGAAAATATTTACATTAACGTGTTAAAGGTGAGGTCCCCAGCCCGTACACAGCTGGTCCCCTAGGAGCCATAGGTGGCTGAATTGTCTCCGTATGCACCTGCCAGCTGACTCCATGTGTACCTGCATGCCAGCTGTCTTCATGTGCACATGGCAGCTCTCTTCATGTACACATGAAGAACAATGCAACATTAATGTACACACTATTATCATAGCCGTCTAAATTCAGTCTTTGCCAACATCAAGAGTCATTTATCCCCACCACAATGAGATCCCAGACGGCTCAAGGAATGATTTAAGTTATGAGGGTGAGTGCTTGAGGTACGATTTCAGTGTAAATTTGATTTTAAGGAATTGACTGGGAAGGTTTTAAAGGAATTAGCTGGATTTTACAGCTAATTCACGCCCGTGGAGCCGGTCGGCCGAGCGGACAGCACACTGGACTTGTTATCCGGTGGTCCTGGGTTCGATCCCGGGCGCCGGCGAGAAACAATGGGCAGAGTTTCTTTCATCCTATGCTCCTGTTACCTAGCAGTAAAATAGGTTCCTGGGTGTTAGTCAGCTGTCACAGGCTGCTTCCTGGGGGTGGAGGCCTGGTCGAGGACCGGGCCGCGGGGACATTAAAGCCCCGAAATCATCTCAAGATAACCTCAAGATACCCGTGCCAATAGGTTGATCTTATGAGAAGAAACAAGAGTACCTCGCAACAACGAGAGGAGCAGCTGGTAGCCTTGAGGACGAAGTGGACTTGCGAAAAGTGACTTGTGTCGAACTACTTACTGTTGGCAGCGAGAGATTTATCATGGCGACCCAGCAGAAGGGTCAGCCCCATTCCTAAGGACTTGAAATTTGATTGAAAATGACATCTTCAACGCCTCGCTCTGTAGTGGGCGTCAGGAATTCAAACTTCGAGTAAAAGCTGATATAGAACACCGAATTGGAAAGGTAATTGTGTGCTCCATCATCACTTCTGCTGGTATGTTGACAGGAGACACACCTGTTCCCACACCAGCGTTTATCTCTATGGCAGACAGGGACCTATTTCCCCCCCCCCCCTCTATTGTCTACCGTTGTATCTCCACAAATACAACATGAAAAGGTGAATTAGATCCCCCGTGAGTAAACTGTGCTGGCAGCACATCACAAAATGTAACCCACGTTTAATCTGTTACATAATAACTTAACGAGCTACAGAAGCTGGATACAGCGGATGATAATATAATCACCTGCGGATAATCAACAATCAGATAACAAGCATTTGTTAGACTCGCGGATGTGAAGAGGAATTAAAACCCAAGTGGATAATTAGATGGAGATGGAAACACTTAGGTAATGAGGTAAGGAGATGAAGAGGGGAGATATTCGAGGTAATTAATCCTGGGATCATGATGCTAATGACTAGGAAGGCTCTCCATCTCCTCGTTACATCTTCCTAATTCACCAATCACGTCCAATTGCTCTGGGTGATTGCTCCTCTACCTCAACCCGTCTACTTGGACCGGTCGGTAAATTGGTGATCTCACTTCTTGCAAGTCTGCGTTCGATCCCAATTACCCAAGTGGTTGGACACTGTTCATTCACTCAGTCCATATATCCTATCATCATATCCCTTCAACGTGCTATATAGCCCAATTGGTTTCGTATTTTCCTCTCATAATTACCGTATCTTAACTCTATTCTAATAAGATTTTTTTCGTATGTCGAGGATAAGTTAATATCTAGCTTGGAATATAGTGTACAAAAGTGTAAGAATCATTGGCTCTACATAACTCCATTTGCATGATTAACAATATATTAACTCCCATTACTAAAGATGCTGTTCTTCAAATATTTAATGTTTACTAAGGTTAACTTTACTAAGGTTATAACTAATTTGTGGATCACTGGCGTTTATTTACTAACAACTGATTGTATTTTTTTTTATAAAACGTAAATTGTATTTGTTTAACTGCAGTCTGAAGTTCAACTTTACTGTAAATATCACCAGGTGTCCGGTCAGTGTTAATTTACAACTCTGTCACGCCCCGGTGTCACACAATGCACCACTGGTCAACACTACGAGGCAATATGACACCAAGTCAACAAACTCTGCAACGCTGACCTATTTGTTCAGATCACTACATCAACACTGTCAGACATCACCACATCAACACAACACTGCCAGACATCACCACATCAACACAACACTGTCAGACATCACCACATCAACACAACACTGCCAGACATCACCACATCAACACAACACTGCCAGACATCACCACATCAACACAACACTGTCAGACATCACCACATCAACACACAACACTGCCAGACATCACCACATCAACACAACAACACTGCCAGACATCACCACATCAACACAACAACACTGCCAGACATCACCACATCAACACAACAACACTGCCAGACATCACCACATCAACACAACACTGCCAGACATCACCACATCAATACAACACTGCCAGACATCACCACATCAACACAACACTGTCAGACATCACCACATCAACACAACACTGTCAAACATCACCACATCAACACAACAACACTGCCAGACATCACCACATCAACACCACAACATTGTCAACCATCACCACATCAACACAACACTGTCAGACATCACCACATCAACACACAACACTGTCAGACATCACCACATCAACACACAACACTGTCAAACATCACCACATCAACACAACACTGCCAGACATCACCACATCAACAACACAACATTGCTCTAAATCCTGTGATCTTTTGAAATAATAGAGCCAAGGTGATAAATAGAGCAACTGTAGAGTGAAGCTCGCAGAGTCTGATGGCACTGGGCCAGTGAACGGCACAACAATATCAATTAATGCATCTGTCAGTTTTCCTGAAATCAGATCAAGCTTCCGTCTCCCCTTCCTCCTCTCCCCTTTGTCTTCCCGTCCATATTAACGGCGTTGATTCCTGTTTGACAGCTTAAGTGTCTTTACGTCTCTCAGGCAGTGGCTGTCACCGGATTCAGTTTTCTTAGCACTGCCGAGGTTCCAGAACCCCGGACACTGTCGCTCATCTAGGTTTTGCCATACAGATTACTGCCATTATAGGAACTAAGAACTGCCATATTTTATAGGAACTTGGCCCATGGTGTCTGAGACAAGGTGAAGTGGTGAATATATATTTCTTAAAGACGCGGGGCTTTTTCTCCTACATAGACAAACTCTTGACGTGAAAGAGGTAAAATCTGGCTCTGGTTGCCATCTTGAGGTTATCTTGAGATGATTTCGGGGCATAGCGTCCCCGCGGCCCGGTCTTCGACCAGGCCTCCTTTTTGTTACATACCCCCCAGGAAGCAGCCCGTAGCAGCTGTCTAACTCCCAGGTACCTATTTACTGCTAGGTAACAGGGGGATCAGGGTGAATGACATATTTTGCCCATTTGTCTCCGCCTCCACCGGGGATTGAACCCGGAACCTCAGGACTACGAATCCGAAGCGCTGTCCATTCAACTGTCAGTGTAGACTTAATGGGAATTTTGCGTGAATTGTACACGTGTAGGATACACCTGTGTTCTGTAAATAGGTGTGCTGTAATCCAATTTCTAGCCAATTAAACGCTACGAGGTAAATTTGAGCTGATATGATGTATCAAGTATAATTTCTGTTGAATAATATACTGGGTTAAGTGATGATCTTGAGGTACCCTTCCAGTTATCATTTCCCAGGTGATTTGGTTCTGCCATACATCTATACGCAGCTGTTTATATTATTTGGTTCTGCCATACATCTATACGCAGCTGTTTATATTATTTGGTTCTGCCATACATCTATACGCAGCTGTTTATATTATTTGGTTCTGCCATACATCTATACGCAGCTGTTTATATTATTTGGTTCTGCCATACATCTATACGCAGCTGTTTATATTATTTGGTTCTGCCATACATCTATACGCAGCTGTTTATATTAATTAATAATCTCCCTTCTTGTAGATTTGTAGTCAGATTTGCTTAACAAATCTGTTACCCCAGCACACATTTAAAGGGAGGTTGTAACTAATCACACATCCAGGGGGATTGGTGCTGGTCACCAATCCCTGCACCAACCTGAATAGCATTATACCCCTCCAATCGCATATCAGCGATTTCCTCCTGTGCTCAAATCGCCATATACAATATATCCTCATGGAATTTCCTTTCCTTCCTGCGTCCCTGGATGAAAGACTTATATTAGCAGTCTAAGGGTTAATGCTCATCTAATTGATTCCAAAGAACCCCCCAATCACCCTACCCATATTCAGGCAAGTCTGATTTGATGACTAGCGGGTGTTCACTTACCCCTACCCATATTCAGGCAAGTCTGATTTGATGACTAGCGGGTGTTCACTTACCCCTACCCATATTCAGGCAAGTCTGATTTGATGACTAGCGGGTGTTCACTTACCCCTACCCATACTCAGGCAAGCCTGATTTGATGACTAACAGGTGTTCACTTACCCATCAATGAGAGGGACGGTGCTGAGGATGCGATGGACTCGGGCGAGGGCATTGTGAGGATGGGGCATCGAGGACCTCCTGGCAGCGAGGGGTAGTGCCACTGCCAGCACCACCCCCCCACTTAAGAGCAGCAGTGCCGCCAACACGCACCAGTGACGCCACGTGTACCCCTCCCAACCTGAAATACATAGGCGTTGAGAGGCGGGACCAGAGAGCCGGAGCTCAACCCCCGCAAGCACAACTAGGTGAGAACACACACACACACACACACACACACACACACACACACACACACACACACACACACACACACACACACACACACACACACACACACAGAGTCACATTTTAGTTAATAATTAATATATTATTTAAGTAAACACAAACCCTTGTTTAAACAATATGTCAAATTCATATTATGTGAGAATTGTTTATATATTGTTTGCTGAGGAAGAGCAGAGTTAGCTGAGTAAGGAGTGGATCAGCCTGGAGCAGATTGGATCAGCTTGGAGCAGATTGGAAGAGCTTGGAGCAGACTGGATCAGCCTGGAGCAGATTGGATCAGCTTGGAGCAGATTGGATGAGCCTGGAGCAGATTGGATCAGCTTGGAGCAGATTGGATCAACTTGGAGCAGATTGGATCAGCCTGGAGCAGATTGGATCAACTTGGAGCAGATTGGATCAGCCTGGAGCAGATTGGATCAGCCTGGAGCCGAGTGAATCAGCTTGGAGCAGATTGGATCAGCTTCGAGCAGATTGGATCAACTTGAAGCAGATTGGATCATCCAGGAGCAGATTGGATCAGCCTAGAGCAGATTGGATCAACCTAGAGCAGATTGGATCAGCTTGGAGCAGATTGGATCAGCCTGGATCAGCCTGGAGCAGAGTGGATCAGCTAGGAACAGATTGGATCAGCCTGGAGCAGATTGGATCAGCTTGGAGCAGATTGGATGAGCCTGGAGCAGATTGGATCAGCTTGGAGCAGATTGGATCAGCTTGGAACAGATTGGATCAGCCTGGAGCAGACTGGATCAACTTAGAGCAGATTGGATCATCTTGGAGCAGATTGGATCATCTTAGAGCAGATTGGATCATCTTGGAGCAGATTGGATCATCTTGGATCGTCCGTAGTTAAGCCAGCAACTACCCAGCACCTCTAACTACACCGTTCAGCTGCCACAACCACACCATCACCACCTCACTACAAGCGCTGCTGTTTGACACAATGTTCAAACTCCAACAATATTTTGTGCAATGTTTATGAGCGTTCAAAATATACAAGGACTCTCTGGAGCCAATGTAAGAATAATTCCACAGTGTTCTTATATAAATACATTCTGCGTCACACGAGGAAATAAAATGTTTTAAATACTGCTGCAAAAAATTAAAATCAAAAGCATCAGAAGGAGGAAAATAAGGTATTCAATACGGAACATAAACAAAGGCATCGTTTAAAATTTTAAAACTCGTAACTTCCTCGTATACAGCTGTATTATACATTACATACAAGAGTTTACATTCTTGTAAAGCCACTATTACGCGTAGCGTTTCGGGCAAGGTCCTTAACCCTAATTTCCCCGGAATACGACCCCGCCGAATCGTTTAACAACCAGGTACCCATTCACTGCTGGGTGAACAGAGGCTACAGTTAAGGATTGGCGCCCGGTCAATCCTCCCCGGCCAGGATTCGAACCCAAGGCAAGGCGCTTGCGAAACGCCAGGCGAGTATCTTACCACTGCGCCACGGAGACTGCTAAGCAATTTTAAATACAACAATTTTAAATACTACAAGATGAGTCACAGTCTAGACAACAGTGATACACTATAAGGCGGGTCACGTCTGGACTACAGTATACGAGATAAATCACAGCCAGCTGTATTCCTGACTACAACGCAAAACAGTAAGATTAGACATTGTAAACTATGTCTACAGTTATTCGCAATTACAATCTGATTTTAGAATAAACAATTCTTTTAGAGACTTAAAACCTATTTGTTCTTGCATATTTATTGATTTGGATGCTGTTTGTCTTTGTACATGATATCGTACATGATATCATACGTGATATCGTACATGATATCGTTCATGATATCGTATATGATATCGTACATGATATCGTACATGATATCGTTCATGATATCGTATATGATATCGTACATGATATCGTACATGATATCGTACATGATATCGTACATGATATCGTATATGATATCGTACACAGATAACGTGGTTCGTGGTGTGGTTGACCCAACTAGTGGAGGGGAAGCGGGGGATAAGTCCCTTCCATCATGGTAATTAATGGTGTTTCACCTGTGTTCTGGTTCCCAGGTGAGTTGTATGCTGTCTTGGGGTACAGTTCCAATATAACTGACCACGTTCCTTGGTCTTATCGGATTGATGCTGTTGTTGCTGCAGTTGATGCTGATTTGTTGCTCTTGACGCTGCTTCTGTTGGTATTAATGCTGCTGTTGTTCCTGCTGCTACTGTTGCTACTATTGTTCCTGCTTTTGTTGCTGGTATAACTGGCGTTATATAGTTGTTACTGATGTCTTTGTCGAGGTCTGCCGACAAGTGATGCTGAAGTTGGTAAGAATGCTTACTGGTTCTTAATGCTTACTGCTTACTGTTTATTGGATTTACAAGACAGATTCCGAAGCTGGTGAAGAACCTGGCAGCTTAATTAAGCTGAAACACAGCTTGAAAAAAAAGCTCTCCCAATTATCAGTTCGTCTGATATTTGGATTAAAATAGAACTTCAGATACAAGCGAAGATGATGATATCGTACATCATCACGATATCATGTACGATATCATGATGATGGATTTAAATTATATTCTCTCTGAAGCCTCTACGGCAGATTTAAGTGTTTTTGAGGAAAGAGAAGACAGTGCTGTTCGTCAGGAGAGACGGGATGGCTTGGAGCCAAGAAAGCAATCTCGCTTTCCTTGGATTTCCTGTCATCTAGGAAGAATTGAAGGACACTTTATGTCTTGCATAACACGGTGGCCGGGACAGCTGCACACCGCAAGGGGCCCTGCTATTCCTCAAGTCAGAAGACGATGTTACAGGCACTAGAGTCTTGCTGTCGGCTGTCAGTGCGGTCAGTTTGCCTTCCGTCTGTCAAGGGGACGTCAGCATATTCTTCCATCTGTCAAGGGGACGTCAATTTGTCTTCCATCTGTCAAGGGGACGTCAGCATGTCTTCCATCTGTCAAGGGAACGTCAGCTTGTCTTCCATCTGTCAAGGGGACGTCAGCATGTCTTCCAACTGTCAAGGGAACGTCAGCTTGACGTAAGTACTCATCACGGGCACAATATTGAGGGAAGGATGGTGGTGGTGATGGAACTAGTGATGGTGGTGATGGTGTTTGTGATGGTGGTGATGATGGTGATAGTGGTGGTAGTGGTGGTAGTGGTGGTAGTGGTGGTGATGGTAGTTCCGTTGGCAAAAACAGTGATTTTGTTTCGGTGACAGTTCACTGCATGTGAGGTGCTGGAGGAGAAGGTGTGGGGGGGGGTGGGAGTGGCAGGTGTGTGGGGGGAGAGTGGCAGGTGTGTGGGGGGGGGGAAGTGGCAGGTGTGAGGGGGGAGGGAGTAAAGACGACACACCAAGAGAATACTGGAGTCTTGAGAAAGTCACGAAGTGTACCAATTAAAACTTTGATAGTGAGGATGAGTGTGTGCAAGTGGGAGTGAATTATAATGTTCATATTTATATACGGAGAGAGAGAGAGAGAGAGAGAGAGAGAGAGAGAGAGAGAGAGAGAGAGAGAGAGAGAGAGAGAGAGAGAGAGAGAGAGAGAGAATGTATTAGAGATAAGAGACAAGAGCAAAAGAATACTTGACTGAGCATGGGATGACAGAGGACCCTGAGCTTCGTGGGCATCGTGCAGGTGTCACACCACATCTGTCAACACCAGACAGCACTGCCACGCTCCAAACAATGTGGCTTCCCACACTGCCAACACTGTGGCTTCCCACACTCCCAACACTGTGGCTTCCCACACTGCCAACACTGTGGCTTCCCACACTCCCAACACTGTGGCTTCCCACACTGCCAACACTGTGGCTTCCCACACTGCCAACACTGTGGCTTCCCCCACTGCCAACACTGTGGCTTCCCCCACTGCCAACACTGTGGCTTCCCCCACTGCCAACACTGTGGCTTCCCCCACTGCCAACACTGTGGCTTCCCACACTGCCAACACTGTGGCTTCCCCCACTGCCAACACTGTGGCTTCCCACACTGCCAACACTGTGGCTTCCCCCACTGCCAACACTGTGGCTTCCCACACTGCCAACACTGTGGCTTCCCACACTCCCAACACTGTGGCTTCCCACACTGCCAACACTGTGGCTTCCCACACTCCCAACACTGTGGCTTCCCACACTACCAACACTGTGGCTTCCCACACTGCCAACACTGTGGCTTCCCACACTACCAACACTGTGGCTTCCCACACTGCCAACACTGTGGCTTCCCACACTGCCAACACTGTGGCTTCCCACACTCCCAACACTGTGGCTTCCCACACTACCAACACTGTGGCTTCCCACACTGCCAACACTGTGGCTTCCCACACTACCAACACTGTGGCTTCCCACACTACCAACACTGTGGCTTCCCACACTGCCAACACTGTGGCTTCCCACACTGCCAACACTGTGGCTTCCCACACTGCCAACACTGTGGCTTCCCACACTGCCAACACTGTGGCTTCCCACACTGCCAACACTGTGGCTTCCCCCACTGTCAACAAAGGACAACTTGGTCCACAACTTATTCACTCAGTAGTGAAGCCTTGCTTACCTCCAGACAGTTTCATCTTCCTCTCAACAACGAAGCCTTCCGTTGTTGTTGACCTCTTCATCTTCCCCCTGAAGATGAAGCCTCGCTTACTTGTGGAATTCTTCCCATGTTTATCGATTGAACTTATTGTCTCGTTCGACTCTCCTGTCCTGCCTGAGCTTGGGAGGTCGAGCACATCAAAACAACACGTTATCTGATCACAATCGACCTGATTGTGTTCGAAACCGTCGTGTTATCTTCAATTTCTAGTGTGTGGTTTGGTCAACACGTTATCTGATGCACACTGCACTAACTCGAGTCACGAGTCGAATAAAGCTATAAAATCAAAAAAACTAACTTTCCGGATTATGAAACGACTTTATAATA